GCTTCCTCGAGGAGAAGTTCAGGGGCGAGAGCGACGGGATCACCTCGCTCGAGAAGCGCGCGGTGACGGACGAGGTCCACCTCGAGTACACCTACGAGGTGGCGTCCTTCACAACGTTCGCGGCAGCCCAGGGCGTCGTCGTGGAGTGCGCCGAGGCCGACGCCGTGGACGCCGTTTTCGCGTCATACCTCGAGCAGTGCTTCTTCGAGGGTTTTCAGCCGTCGACCGGGGCCAAGGCTCTGGCGGGCTGGATCCACCTCCATTCGGCCTACGGCCGCCGGGGCTCCTTGCAGCTCCCGCGGGCGTGGAGGACGCTTCATGGGTGGCACGAACTTTGCTCTGGGCGCTCTCGGAAGCCGGAGGGGCTTGGCGTCTGGTTCGGCCTCGCGAGCGCCATGTACCACCTCGACCGGTCCCGGATGGCTGTGTTCGTCCTCCTGGCCGTTTCGACCTACCTCAGGCCGGGGGCGCTGCCGACGGTGAGGGGGGCCGAGATCGCCCCTCCCGCGCAGGGGGTCACTCGCCATTGGTCAGTCCTCGTCCGCCCTCGCGAGCGACCAGGGCGGAGCAAGATCGGGGACTCGGACGTGTCCATCTTGCTCGACAGCGATTGGGCCAAGGACCTGAACCCGCTCTGGGAGCGCCTGCGGACCGTGGCAGGGTCGGGCCTCCTGTGGGATTTCGACTACGGCGAGTACCTCCACACATTTCGTCGTGCTGCTCGGCTGATCGGCGTGCCGAACCTGGTCCCGTACCAGACGCGCCACAGCGGACCGAGCGTGGACCGCGCTCGGGGCTCCCGCTCCTCGCTGGAGGTTCAGAAGCGGGGCCAGTGGAAGTCCGGCAAGAGCGTCGCCCGCTACGAGAAGCGCGCCACGCTTGCCGACTCGTTCCACCGGCACCCAGCCGCCATCCAGGCCTACCTCCAGGAGTGCGAGCTTCGCGGCATGGAGATCGTCCTCCACGCGCGCCTCGTGCCGCTCCCTTCTTCGCGGCGGACTTGATGAGGGATAAGTGCATCGCCGACGGTTTCGCTGGCAAAGGGGGAGTCGCCAAGGCTCTGAGGCAGCTTGGTTTCCAGGCTGGGAGATCCCCCGCGGCTCGCATGGCGACCTCACCTCCAGCCGCGTGCTGAAGCCGCTCCTGGCAGACATGCGCAGGCGCCGCTGCCTAGCAGTGATGCTGGCGCCCCCTGTAGCAGCTTCAGCATAGCACGCGTCCGTGCCGCGCCTATCCGCTCTGTCCGTCGGCCACGGGGTTTTCGAGGGAGGAGGTCAGCCTGAAAGATTGGAAAACAAAAACTCAAGGAGGGCAGCAGATGTTGCAGGGCCTCACTGGCCACAATTCGGGAGTGCGACGCTGTTGGTGCCTCTTGGATTTTGGAAAACCTTCGCACTAGCTACATGTTTAAGACTCCTGAGTTCCAGCGCCTGGCCTCCTCCCCGTCCGTGGCGACGTTGACCGTCGACTGTTGTCAGTTCGGTGCCACCTGGAAGAAACGCGCGACCCTTTTTGTGCGGGAACATTCCCTTCCTGGACCTCCAGGGGCTTTCGCGCCAATGTAGTGGCACCAACGGCGTTTGCAGCCGAACAGATCGTAAACATGTAATCCTTTCTGGCCCGGCGCCCAGCGGTGTGCCGTGGACGCAGGTTGCGCAGCCTTGCCCACCGCAGCTCGATCGTGCGCTGGCTCGCGCGCCGGTGGCTCCGATCCGAGCTAAACTATTTCAAGCATGAGTCGCATCCTCAGGTGCTTTGGGGATGCTGTGGGACTTTTTCGTCGAGCGGAGGCGGGCGGTGCATCCAGGGCCGCCCCAATATTTGGACCCTCCGCTCGCTGTGGTCTCATCGCGATGACTGAGTAGCGTTCTCGAAGACAGATTGCACCAGGCGCGCCAGTGCCTCAGAAAGGTGGAAATCGTTTCTCTCCTTGCTCTCGGTCCCCATGGGAGTGCGTGCGCATGAATGGGGTAAGAGAGCGGCTTGTCGTCTGCCAGCTTGTCTGAAAGAACATCAATCCAACTGTGTGGGATCGCGGCTATGCAAGCTCCGAAGTCTTTTTCGCTCCCACCCGCAGCCACCCAATGTCTGATGTAGCAGAGACAAAACTTTTTCGTCGAGCGGAGGCGGGCGGTGCATCCAGGGCCGCCCCAATATTTGGACCCTCCGCTCGCTGTGGTCTCATCGCGATGACTGAGTAGTGTTCTCGAAGACAGATTGCGCCAGGCGCGCCAGTGCCTCAGAAAGGTGGAAATCGTTTCTCGCCTTGCTCTCGGTCCCCATGATGATGATGCTGCTGATGATGATGGTGGTGGTGGTGATGGTGATGATGGTGGTGATGATGATGATGATGGTGGTGGTGGTGGTGATCATGATGATGATGGTGATGGTGATGGCGGTGTCTTGCACGTTTCATCTCTTTTGGAACCGAGGGCTGTCGCGGTCGCGCCGCTGCGCCGCAGCAGCGCCAGCTCAAGAGGCCCTCGCCCGGATGCGCTTCAGTGGCACCGGGCTCAGCCTCCCGCTTGCGAGCAATTGCTGCCTCGTGCTCGTGGCGCGCCGGTGGCTGCTGCCCGCGGCGCCCGCGGCCCCCGAGGCCCCAGCCGCGCTTCGGCTGGCGGCCTCGCCGTCCCCGCTCTCCGAGGCGGCCCCGTTCCTGGCGCCGGGGGAGGCCGCCGGGGTCCAGGTGCCGCTGGCTGACTGCCTGGCGGCCGCGCCGGACGTGAGGGAGGTGAGCCGCGCCTGCCCCTCGCCCTGCCCCGCTTGCCCCTCGTGCGAGAAGACGGGCGGTGTCCCTCCCTGGCGTGGGAAGTGGCGCTCGGTGGCCTGCTGCTGCTGGCCTCCGAGCTCGCCCGCTGGGCCCTGGGGTTGGGCCTGCGCGCGGCGCGCTGCGCGTGCGCGAGGCGCTCGGCGCGGCCCGCCCTCGGCGTTGACCTCAGGCCGAGCCCCCAGGCTGTGCGCGTCGACGCACCCGAGCGGCGGCTGGCGCGTGTCGGAGGGCTCGGCCGATACTCGTGATCAGCGTCGGCGATGAGATCTGGGTCGAGTACGACGAGCCGCCCCCACGGCTCGCTCACAAACGCATCGTGGTGGGCCTCTCGTCTCGGACGCCGGAGCACTTCCGTGCTCGCGCCCGACGTCGACGTCTACGTCGAGGAATGTGACGCAGGAGACGCCGACATCCGCAATTGGTGGAGGGAGTGGGGGCCGTCGCGGCCCCAGCAGGCGCTGTCATTTCCGCGGCCCTCAGACGGTATGACGCCGCCGCTCGGCCCACGGTCGCCCCGCTCGCCCAGGTTTGCATGCTCGGCGCTGGCAAGCTCGCGGAGCACGACCAGCTCCGCGCGGGCCTTGCCCCTGGTCCTGCTGGTCCTGCTGGCGAAGGCGGTGCCCCCCTCGCGGTGGTGGCCGCCGGCGCGGGTCCTGGGCCCATGGGGGGCGGCGTCGTGGCTGGTGCTCCCGCGGCCATGCCTGGAGCCGCCGCCGCGGTCCCTGCTCCAGCCGCCGCCGCTGGCGCGCCTGGCGCCCCAGCCGCTGCCAGTGGCCTGGCCAGCCCCCCTGCCGCAGGACCTGCCCCTGCCGCGCCAGCTGGCCCGCCGCCGGCAGATGGGGCGGTGCCCGCGGGCGGGGGGGACTTGCGCGCGTTCGCCGCGGCGTACGACGGCCAGGGACAGCGCCATCGCGAGTTTCGAGACACTGTGCAGCTCGCGCGGCCCACCTCTTTCCCCGACTGGCCGACCCCTGGCCCGGATCGGCTGTCCCTCTCGTTGCTCCCCCACTTCCCTGATCTCTTCAACTTGCCTGGACATCGTTTCTGGATGGGCTGGTGCGGACACGCGAAGCGTCAGGAATTTCCTATTTGAGTTATTTGTTGACCTTTGGCCTGTTCGGGTATTGTTTGACCTCTCAGGTGGGAGCCTCCACAAACAGTTTTGGGGGGATCTCTCAGGCGGGAGCCTCTTCTGCCGTGAGTTGCTTTGAGACCTCTCAGGCGGGGGCCTCTTCCTCTGTGAGTTGTTTCGGGACCTCTCAGGCCGGAGCCTCCTCCATATCAAGTTTTTGGAGAACTCTCAGGCGGGAGCCTCCTCCTACTTCTCCCTTCTCCTCTTCCTTTGATGGAAGCCTCCTCCTCCTTCCTCCCTGTTGCTCATTTCTCTTCCTCCTCCTCATCCGCATCCTCTCTCTCCTTCTCCTTCTCATGCTTACCCTCCTCCACATCCTCCTTTTCTTTGCGCGTGCATATACTCATGCATCGGAGGTGGGGGAAGACAAGCGAGGAGCATAATGGATTTGCCAATAATCAGAAGACAGAGGCAAGGAGATAGAGTGAGCGAATGAAGAAGAAAGTCAAAAGAGGAGTCGAATAATGACGTCGACGAAGACGGGCGAGGCGGTGGATCTTGGTGGTGGGGGGCGTCCATATACACGCATACATATGTATCACTGCCACCCCTTATGTGGACATGTGAGACCCATGCCACCTATGCGTGTGTATATATATATATATATATATATATATATATATATATACATATATATATCTAAGTTGTGGGACGCCGCGTGCCTCTGAGAGGAGGAGATCCAGTGGCCCGTCTACTTCGAAATGGCAGCATTTTACTTTCGCTTGCGGGGCCGGTCTTATCTCGAAAGCGCAGTCCTCGCGTGGCCCATATCTGCGCGTCGGTTCTGCCCAGCTAGAGGGTGAGGGTATAAATTTGAAATGAAGAGCAATTCGATTGAGACACGGGGCAAGAGGATGACCCACCTGCCACCCCCCCCCACCCCACATACACACGCACACACACACACACTTCACCATTTGACGGCACGATGCCATTTAGGATGTTCTGTTGTTTTTTGTCATAGACTGCAGGGTGCTTCTCCTTGAGCCTGATCAGCCTGTGTCCGCGAGGTTCTACACTGTCCTCAACATGAGTCTCACTTTCTCTGGATTCTAAGCGAGATGAGCTGAAAGGAAGGGGAGAAGGAGGATCAGGAGAGGAATCTGCTTATCAAGGTCACAGTTCGTCGCTAATCGTCGCGGTCGCAGCCGAGTTGGTCCAAGGTCGCAGGCTCGGTTCGTTTTGACGACGACTCGGTGGCTCTAGACAGCTGTAGCGCAATGGGAGACGAGGGGGAGCTTGAGTTTGATTTTGGCAAGAAGAAGAAGCCGAAAAAGGAGAAGAAGGAGAAGAAGGAGAAAGCGGACGAGGACGATCAAGAAGTCCAGCTGATCAGCGTGGACTGGTCGAAAGGCCCGGAGTATACCTATCAGGAGATGCTCACGCGGCTGTACGAGGTCGTCGAGAACAGGTGCCCGACGTTGGGCGTAGCGAAGAAGCACGTGTTGAAGCCTCCGCAGGTGGTGCGTGTTGGCTCCAAGAGGGTGGCTTGGGTAAACTTTGCTGAGATTTGTCAGATGATCAAGCGGCCATCTGATCATGTGGTGTCGTTCGTGCTCGCGGAATTTGGCACGGAGGGCTCAGTGGCGGGGTCGGCGACTGCGCGCGCGGAGGGAGCCGGCGCTGACGGTCAGTTGATTTTGAAGGGCCGGTACTTGCCGAAGCACCTGGAGAGCGTGTTGCGAAAGTACATCAAGGACTTAGGGGACAGCCTAACCAGACCAGCCAGGAGGGAGTGCCACAGGGTTGATTAGGTTAGGGAGTTCCCCCACGAGGAGAAACCCTAACCATACCTGGATCACCCCCTCTTCCTTGGTCTGGTTGGCGCCTCTCTCCTCTTCAAGGACTATGTGACCTGCCACATGTGCAAGGGTGCTGACACCGAGCTGGGCAAGGACTCCTCGACGCGGCTGTGGACCGTGAAGTGCAACGTCTGCGGCGCAGACCGAACGACAACGTCAATCAAATCTGGTTATCACGCCGTGACGAAGAGCGACCGCAAGGCAGCCAAGCAGGCCAAGGCTTGACCGACCAATGGCCGACTGTAGACATGACGACCTGCGCAAGGCTGCCGAGCTGTCCCTGCCTATTCCGTGAGCCTCGGAGTTCAGCGTGTTGTTAGACCGTATCCATTTCTCTTCTCCCTCATTTCGCTATTCTTGGAACCCTTGCGGGTCCTGGCCGAGCGAGAGAGAGAGGCATACCGTAAGTATACGCATCGAGTCTGGCAAAACGTGTTGCAACCGTCACTGGGAAGCGGGTTCGCGTGGGGCCCAGCCTTCCTTGCCTCCCTCCATCCTGCCCCGCCCCGCCGTCCCTCTTTCTCCCTCTGCCATCAGTCTCTTCCTCCTCCTGGCGCCGCCAAGGAGAGAGATGGTGGCGCTGGGGTGCGATAGCGATGGCTACGGTGATGATGACTCCTCTGCCTCATCCTCTCTCATCCTCATTCTGCCACCTCTGGCCACAGGACTCGGAATGTGCATGGGGTGCAAACGACGATGGCTCCGTCGTCAGCGGGTGGATCTCTTGGGGCCGTCGATCGGCCCGTGCTCCGAGCTCCTCGTCCCGCGATTCCACATCTCGCGACAGAGTGAGAGAGTGCAGACATCATGGGTATGGGGACGGAGGGATGGATACGGCCATTTTGCCTGTGGGGTTCCCTTTTTCGGGGCTGGGCAGTATTAGAGAGGCCTTACGGCCAGTTTCGCTGACCCTGAAGGGGATCAGGAAACCTTGGGAAGGCCGCGAGGGAGCCGAGGAGTCCACGAAGGCAGGCCGACGAATACAAAGTGAGAGGGTGCAGGCATCAAGGGGATGAGGGAGGGATGGGTACGGTCGTCTTACCTGTGTTTTTTTTGAGGGGGGGAAGTGACGAAGTATTTCTGTTACGTTAGGCCGGGCGTCTGATGTGCTTGCAAGAATACGCTTGGCATCAACCTTACAGTGCCAGCAGCATCGACCAGACATGGAATTAGCTAGCGTTGGAATTCTCTTTTGAGCTGTGTATGACGAAATGTGGAGGAGGGTAAAACGGGTTGAACAAGGAGGATAATTAGATGGAAGGGGGAGGAGGAGGAGGAGGAGCAGGAGGAGGAGGAGGAGAAGGAGGAGGAGGAAGAGGAGGAGGCGGAGGAGGAGGATGAGGCGGAAGAGCCGTAGCCATTTTTGCTCAAGGGGTTCAGCCGTCCTTGTTTCACGTGGGCCACCTCCCCTCAGAGGCCAAGTTCGTGGTGCGCTTCACTGCGCGCTCTCTCGCCTGCGTCTCTCTTGGGATGGGCAGATCTGGTGGGAGGTACAGTCAGCAGGATGCGGGGCTTGCGTGTCTGACATGCGGGTGTGAAAATAATCCCTCGCACTTTCATTTTTGCTACCATTGTCGTCATTCCCCCGCCTCCACGAGCTGAGGCCTGGACCCGTGCTCCATGGGTCCAAGCGTTTGGAAAGTGAAGGGCAGGCGGGGGTGCGAAAGGCGGAGGCAAGGGTGGAGCTGGAGCGGGAGGCAAGGGAACGAAAGGTTGCGGTGGTGACACTAATCCTGGGACGTCTATGCCGAATCCCCGCGGCCTCCCACGCTTCGCCATGGATGAGCTGCATCGTCTGCAGCAGTTATGCACTTCAGGTCGGTTCAAGGGGTGGTTGCCGAAATCTTCTTGTGACACCCATCCAACGCCTACATAGAGGTTCGCAGGGCGCGCCAGGATTTGCTTCTGCCGGGTCGACATCTCCAGCGTGCAGAGCAGGAATGGTTGCGCCGTGAGAAGACGAGCGAAACACTGGAGGCTGCACTTGCTACGGCTGTTTGGCAACTTGCCGACCTTGACCAGAAACGTCAAGAGCTCCAGAAGTCCATTTCTGACGAGAATCGGGCCATGGAGGAATCATAGAAGGAGGCAGCCAAGCGCGTCGCCGCCCAGCCTGTGCTGCCAAATGTCAGTATGCTTCGCAGCCGCATGCGGGAGTTTCAGTCTTTGCTGGCGGGGATCCAAAGGGCCGATGCCATGTCCAGCCTCGAATCCAAGTGCAAAGAGTTTGTGGCTGCGTTCACCTCGTCCTTTGCTGCAGAAGAGCCTGTCCCCTCCGACTCGGTCCTTGGCATCGACGAGGCGGGCCCCCAGGTGGCCATGCAGGTTGGTGGAGTTTCGGACCAAGCCAAACGTCAGATAATGCATGCCATTCGGGAGGCCAGCAAGAAGCCTCGGTTTCGCTTGCCTGGTCCACGAGGGCGCCCTACCGCGGGCGTCGCGTCAGCCGTGCGCAATTGCCCCCATCCAAACGCTGGGCTGGAGGCCGCAGGAGGCGATGGGGATGGATCGTCTGAGGAGGCGGACATTTAGTCATCATTTTCTTGTTCCTGGTGAAGTATGCGACTCCAGCGGGAGTCATCTCTATCTAAATCGTCAATGTCGTCGGGCGCCTGCGCGGGGCCATGTATCTTAACCTGAGTGACGCGTAGAACGCGGCAGCTGTGGCTCTAGCCCGAGCTGGCCCGTAGTGGACCTTGGGCCAACCGCAGTTGCACGGGGACTTTCATCCCAGTCTTGCGGCGGCGGCGGTCTCAGGAGCGATGCCGACATGGGCCCCGAGGTTGAGGCGCAACGTTGGCCTCCACGCCGCGGCGCCAGGGGCGCGGACTTTCGCGGCCGGGGCGAACGAGCTCCGCGCCCTCCAGCGCGGGCCGCGGTTTGGCTGTGCAGCGGCGGGGGGCAGGGTGTGGTTGTCATGTCCATGTCGGCCTCTCCTCCTCCTGCGCCTCTCCCTGTTGTGCAGCCGTTGTGGCTCGCGAGGGCCCTTGAGTCGCCTGGCGTGAGGGCGACGGGCGCGCCCTGGCATCCGTGAGAGGAAAGATAACGTGCTCTCTCATTGCGCGGGTCCCCCTATGTGTACTTCGTGTTTTTGTGCTCCATGCAGTTGTTCCCGTGCGCTCCGCAATGGCAGCTGTGCCTGTGGTTGCGATCCACGAGGGGGGTCAGGCCGACTCCCCTGTCATTCGACTCTCGGATGACATATTCCATGCTCTTCTCCCGTTCTCCCCGCTTCCCGCCCCTTGCACCGAGCGTCGCCGTGGGTCTCGCGGACGACGCTCAGCCGCGAGAAAATGAGCTTCCAGTGGTTCCTTGGCCACAACCAGGGCGTGATCCCTGGGCGGGAGGCGGGGGGCGAGGCAATGTCCCCTGGGAAGCTGATGACGACGCGGGCTGGTCAGATCAAGATTGGGCCCGCTGGCTCTCGCGGCCCTGGGCGGAGATGCAGCCCAATGCGCAATCGTCCCCATCGGGTTGGAACGCGCGCGGTCGCGGTTCGCCGGCTTCGCCAGATCGGCTGAGCGCGCCTCTGCGGGGACAGGCCATGCCTTTCATTCCGCTCTGGCTGATTGGGGAGATGCCGCTGCCAGATCTTCTGATCGCCAGACGGGGGCAACTGTCTGAACGATCGGAGGCCCCGAAGATACAAAATTATCGACCTCCCACATGGGATGGGGAAGATCCTCATACTCGTCCACACCTTTACATGAAGGGATTGCAGAGGTGGCTCGCTACTACCAGAATCCCGAGGGCACGGCGCAGATACCTCATGCACCGCTACGCCAAGGATAACCTCAGTATCATTATCAAGGAACACCGAAGACCAGCGGGGGGCAGCGGGCAGGCTGTGGTCAAACATATTAAGCATGCTTCCGCCGAGCACCAAGAACGCAAGATACCGAAGGTTCCTGGGCAGCTTTTCCATTCGGGCGACACGAAGCGTGAGCGCGATGAATCTCTGGTCAATTATAACTCTCGCCAGCGACTGCTTGCCCGAGAACGCGGGAAGCGCTTGATCCTGCCAAGGGTGCGTGCTTCTTTGGAAATCCATGCTCAGTGAAGCTGTTTGGGGATACGGTTGAGCACTGGACTGAGGGGCCATCTGGCTTTGACTTGGCGCGCGAGAAGCTTCGGGAGCTCGGGCGACCGCTGCCGCCCGACAGCGGCGGCCATCGTACTCGTGGAATGAGTTCCGCCTCGCACTTCGCCGGGCACCGGGGGTGCGAAGACGGATTTGGTGACCGGGAGTCTGATCGCGATGACTTTCATTGGATTCTCATGGAACAGTCTCTGTTTACTTTGCTCGTCGACGGCGGTCAATCGAGGGCGCGCGAGGCAGGGGCAGGCAAACGCATTTTGATACATTTTTTTGTTTTTACCGATGAAGTCTGGCAGGGGAAGAAGAAAACCGGGGCAGTCTCTCCGATGGCTCTGGGGTGCTGCCAGCTCGCCGAGCCTGGGGATGCTGTCTTCTACGTGAATCCGCAGGCGCCCTCGGCTCAAACCAGTCTTTCTCAGCCAATTGCTCTCTTGGCATTTCGCGCGATGTTGAACCGTGCGGGGCGCGTCCTCGACGAGGGGGCCGCGGCTGGGACCTCGGGGGGCCGGCAGGTCCAGTCAGCCCCTGATGGCCCCAGAGAAGCGGACGTGGAAGCGGTGCCAGCAGTGCCTGAAGCTACTCGCCTTTCGGGGCCGCGTGGCCATGGGGCGCGGCGCGCAGGCGCGCATCGGTGCGAACGCCAGCGGGAATCTGCTCGGGGGCGACGAGAGTCTGGACCGTGGGCAAGAGGCTGGGGCCAGACGGCATGGGCACCTAGAAGGCCGATCAGGCCATGTGCGCGCATCCCGAGAAGTCCATGCGCACCCACTGGTGGACGTGCGACGGCTGCCAGATGCGCTGGACGAGGCTATCTGTCGAGGGCCTCATCAGCACGGGCGCGCCGTGCCACAGGGAACAGGTGGCGTTCGGGATGTATGCGGGCTACGCCTTCAAGAAGGTCTACGAGAGGGACTTCCAGCACAGCGACTGGCGCATGGAGACCCGCGTGTCAGGCGAACCGGCGACGCATCAAGGACTCGGACGACTGGCAACGTGCGCGGCCGAACGCGAGATGCGCGACAACATCGTGGACAGGGGCAGTTTCGAGACGGTCGCGGAGGAGACCGACGTCGGATGGATTCGCGGGCAGAGGATGTTTTCGACGGTCGCGGGGCGCATGTCCGAGTGCATCGCGAGCCCCGCGGCCCTCTGCCCATCCGACTCCGTCGGATCACCTTCTGCAGGCGATTTTGACAACGAGTGGATGACAGAGGTTGTCTGCTCAGATAGTACTACCGAATTTAGTCAGGGTGCCTGGTCTGACCCGTCTGGCGACCGTACTTTGGCTGAGAAGTGGACTGGCCGCGCCCTCTTTTACCGCGAGGCTGCTACTGGCGTGATTTTCGCTGGCGCTCTGCTGGCGAGCATTTCTCCTCGGGGCGCCTGTCTCAACCAGGTTTAACAACTTTCTCTCCAAATGCTAC